CATGGTAACAATGTGACATCATTATGTTGAAAGTAGTCTATTGTGACTCTTGCAACATGTGGTCGGGCATTATCTTGTTGGAAAGTTGGATCTGCCAGGGTGTCAAGATAGGGTAAAAGATGGGGTTCTAGAACTTCGTGGATATAACGCTGCGCGTTCATGTTACCTCTGATGAAGATTAAAGGTGTCCTGGAACCATAAGCTATAGCACCCCAAACCATAACTCCAACAGTGTGATGAACATGTCTTTCAACAAAAAACTGTGGATTCCTCCTTTCACCACGTCGCCTTCTAACCCTGGCACGACCATCGTGCATGCCTAAACAAAATCGAGACTCGTCATTAAAGACAATACTGTTCCATTCCTGATCCCAGAGTGACCGTTGTCTGCACCACTCAAGGCGATTACGTCGGTGTTCTCGAGTTAAAGGGAGGACCCAGTGTGGTCGGTATGAAAACAAGCCAAAACTTCTCATTCGTCGGTAAACACTTCGCATGCCAATAGGTCTTCCGTGTTCTGCAAACCATTTATTTGCAATGGACCTGGTAGTGGAGAAACGGTCCCTTAAGGCCAGTAATCTTAGGCGGCGATCTTCACGGTCTGTTGTTCTACGGCGGCGTCCAGTGCCCCTTGCTCTTTGCGTACGGCCTTCTCGAAGCCATGCCTGACAACACCTAACCACAGTGTCTACACTTCTTTGCACTCTAACTGCAATTGCCCGAAAAGAAAGTCCAGCTTCCCGAAGTCCCACTATACGGCCCCTATCAAACTCACTAAGTTGACGAAATCGTACAGGTCTCCGTACTCTAGGCATCGTAACCGATCGTAAAGAATCGTCAAGAACCAAAATCCGCCAACGTTGATTCTTTACTGCGGCTGAAATATTCATTTTTAGAGCGTTAGTGAATTAAAAAAAAAGCAGTATAAAAACCGGAATGTCCAACTGATAAAGCTGAAAATTTTTTCACTTGTTATTTACAGTAAGATAAATGCATTCACCAACTTTTATTAAAATAAAACCATTTAAACTGGGTGTTCGGATTTATATGTCACTTAGTATATTTATTTTCAACTTTTTCGCAAAGTAACCTTATCTCCTTCAAAACACTGTCCACTGCAACTAATAACATACACTTGTCCCACTGGTGGGCAGGTGCATTTTCGTGGTGGAAGAGCCAGTCTTCTGACTGCCACAAATCGGGTCTTTTTTACCGAACACTGTTTCGCAATCATCTTAAAACCTCCAACTATAAGGTTTGATTGACAGTGTGACCTGGACGAACAAACTCGGAATGGACTACGCCCTTGACATAAAAAAAAACAGATCAGCATTGTTTTGGTGTTTGATTTGACTTGACGATATTTTTTTGGACGAGGTGACGATGGCGACCTCCATTGACTTGACTGTTGCCTCGTTTCTGGGTGATAACCGTAGCACCAAGTCTCATCACCAGTGATGATCTTTGACACAAAATTAGGATCAGATTCAAGCTGTTGTTTCAAAGCACGACATGTTTCAAATCGGTGTTCTTTTTGATTGTCAGTCAGAGCCCGAGGAACAAACTTGGCAGCAACACTTTTCATTCCTAATTCGCTGAACCGAACTCCAGTTAACAAAGTCAAACAAAAACAAAATAAAGACGTTGCCATTGTTGCCACAGCATGCTTTAAATATAGTCATTATGTTGCCAAAAAGCAAGTTGAATTATTTTTTCTGGGTGTAACACTTAGATCTAATGTCACTGAGTATACATATTGAACAAAATATTTTGTATAAAAGAACGATAAAACTGTAAACACAAATAGAAAAAAAGCTCAGTATATTTATGTTTAGAAAATAATGCCAAGCTATTTGAACACCTACTGTGAATAAAATCAAAATAAGGTTAAAAAAGTATCCGTTATTCTGAATATCACTTGACTAAGCACCAGTTTATAAAATTTTACCCTATCTTATCATTATGTAATATGCATCTATCAGTAATCACATAATCTTACATCAAGCAACGCCTATTTAAATAAAATAAAAAAACAGATTTTTTTATATACTAACTGACATATAAATCCGAATACCCAGTTTAAATGGTTTTATTTTAATGAAAGTTGGTGAATGTATTTATCTTACTGTAAATAACAAGTGAAAAAATTTTCAGCCTTATCAGTTGGACATTCCGCTTTTTATACTGCTTTTTTTTAATTCACTAACGCTCTAAAAATGAATATTTCAGCCGCAGTAAAGAATCAACGTTGGCGGATTTTGGTTCTTGACATCCTTTACGATCGGTTACGATGCCTAGAGTACGGAGACCTGTACGATTTCGTCAACTTAGTGAGTTTGATAGGGGCCGTATAGCGGGACTTCGGGAAGCTGGACTTTCTTTTCTGGCAATTGCAGTTAGAGTGCAAAGAAGTGTAGACACTGTGGTTAGGTGTTGTCAGGCATCGCTTCGAGAAGGCCGTATGCAAAGAGCAAGGGGCACTGGACGCCGCCGTAGAACAACAGACCGTGAAGATCGCCGCCTAAGATTATTGGCCTTAAGGGACCGTTTCTCCACTACCAGGTCCATTGCAAATGAATGGTTGGCAGAACACGGAAGACCTATTGGCATGCGAAGTGTTTACCGACGAATGAGAAGTTTTGGCTTGTTTTCATACCGGCCACACTGGGTCCTCCCTTTAACACCGACGTAATCGCCTTGAGTGGTGCAGACAACGGTCACTCTGGAATCAGGAATGTAACCGTATTGTCTTTAGTGACGAGTCTCGATTTTGTTTAGGCATGCACGATGGTCGTGCCAGGGTTAGAAGGCGAGGTGGTGAAAGGAGGAATCCACAGTTTTTTGTTGAAAGACATGTTCATCACACTGTTGGAGTTATGGTTTGGGGTGCTATAGCTTATGGTTCCAGGTCACCTTTAATCTTCATCAGAGGTAAAATGAACGCGCAGCGTTATATCCACGAAGTTCTAGAACCCTATCTTTTACCCTATCTTGACACCCTGACAGATCCAACTTTCCAACAAGATAATGCCCGACCACATGTTGCAAGAGTCACAATAGACTTCTTTCAACATAATGATGTCACATTGTTATCATGGCCACCAAGATCTTCCGACTTATCCTCAATTGAGCACGTGTGGGATATGATGGGTAGGAGATTGCTCAATTTGCAACGTCCTAGTCAGACTCTAGAAGCACTTCAAGAGGAGTTGGTGGTTGCCTGGAATGAGATACCACAGGAGGACATTGACCACCTGATCAGAAGCATGCCTAGGCGCGTTGGAGAATGCGTAGCACATCAGGGTGCATCCACACATTATTAAAGGTCAAAGGGCTTTAAAGCAGTGCAATCATTTTGAAATTTTTATCATTTACTTATTATGCTTCATTAAGTACTTATACAAAATTTTATTAAAATAAAACCATTTAAACTGGGTGTGCGGATTTATATGTCACTTAGTATATTTGATGAAATATTTTGTTCACTGTATAACGTATAAAAGAACGATAAAACTGTAAACACAAATAGAAAAAAAGCTCAGTATATTTATGTTTAGAAAATAATGCCAAGCTATTTGAACACCTACCATAATCTTACATCAAGCAACGCCTATTTAAATAAAATAAAAAAAGATTTTTTTTTATAACCGAGAAAACAAATGTAATATGTGATACATCGTTGAATTCGTAGAAAGAATGAATGCTTTTCTCTGGCCATATAAAAAATAAAGTTGATCATGGTTTCTAAAAAGCGAAACATCAAATTATGAAAATACCATCATGTAGTGCCTAAAAAGTGCCATCTGTTACATCCGTTCTTAGATATCTCTTGAAAACAATTTGGCCAAATTTTAGTTTTCCCAAATAGCTCAGTAAGCCACGGAATTTTTCCCGGTTTCTCAACGGTATGTAAATACGCCCCAAAGAACGAAGCTTTTTTCTAATTTAACCTCACAAGTATTTACATTCCCATACTCATCAGGAAGTCAAAATTAACAGTTGCCTTCTTTGAAGTAGCGTAGAAACTAAATCTGGTAACAACGCATTTCATATACAGGGTGTTCCTTATTGATATGCGAATATTTAAAGGTGTGAATCTACATGAAAAATTAATGTTATTTTGCTTTGTAAACTATGGTCCAAAAATTTTTCCTTACAATAACTCCCAAGAATGGCCACCAAGGTCCCCAGACCTCAACAGTTTAGATTTCTTGTAGTTCGGTTATCTTACGAAACCAGTGTACAAAAGTCCCATTAACACTGTAGAGGAATTAAGAGAAAGAATAGGTGCAGCTTGTGATAGAATAAAAAACACTTCAGGGTTATTTCAACGAGTGCGCAATTTCATGAGACGGAGGGCGGAAGCATGCATACTAAGTGAAGGGAGGAATTTTCAACAATTTTTGTAATCATTTCGTTGGTTTTAGTGTTATGTTTATGTTGTCAGTTGTTGTTGTTCATTACCCCCTAATGTGTTTAATTTTTCCAATTAAATGAATAATACTTTTGCAAGTTAGACAATAGAACGGTTTTTATTTTTTTACTCAAAAATAGCGCATCGAAGGAAAACAATTCAAGAGGGACCATTTGTTTTAAATTGTACGGGGAATTCAAAAATAATTTTTATTTGGAGAAAAACCATTTTTTTCTTAAAAATATCGAAGTCAATACCGGTACGCACGCCACTGTTAAAGCTAAAAATTAGTTTTGCATTGAAAAATATGCAACTTTATTAACTTTCACTTCGTACTAAATATCAGTGAAATATCTGAAGCGGTTCTGGAAATATTAATTTCCATCTTTTTCCTAAAATCTCAACGCCCCGAGTTTTTGTAAGCAAACCATAGTTTATAAAGCAAAGTAACATTAGTTTTTCATGTGGATTCACACCCTTAAATATTCGCATATAATTAAGGAACACCCTGTATAATTCACGATATCATCGAATGTAACTCGCACATCTATAATTTCACATGCTTAAAAAATACAGATTCACATACATCACACACTATCAAGTTCCAAATATCACACATTTCCACAATCTTCCAACCTAACTAGTCTTTGGATTTTCCGGTTTCTTTCCAATATTTGCAGCCAAATTGCCGACACTGGCCACAGGAATCGCCACCAATTGAGGTTGGACAATGTTTGGACCCTGCAGCAGTCCTAGGATCATTCCGTCTGGAGTGGAGGCGTATCCAACACCTGAAGGGGTCTGCAGCAGAAGAGGAAGAGCCTGGACTGGATTGGTTGGAGCATTAGGTATCACGCAAGGCACAGATGATGGAGGAACTGGAAGACTTTGAGGGGCTTTGGAGACGCCTGGGTTTGCTTCTGCGATAGATTTTTGAGCTTCAGGGGGTCTGGATGTAGATTCGGAGGTGACTTCATTTTTTGAAAGGTTATGAGCTACTACTTCTGGGGGCGGCGGTTGAGGAGAGTCTGGTCGATTCCTTTGGGGTTCCTCAGGTGGATCCGATATGTCTTCGTTTTCGTCGCTGTCACTGCTAGAGCCACTGTCTCCCCCCTGAAACAAGAGAAAAATGTTTAGACTTGTGTACAAAAAATAGTTGCAGTATCATTTATTACTTAATACATGTCAAAAAAGTAGTCAAATGCCAGTTAGTATAGTTAGTGGGTTATAACAATTTGAAAAGATTGGTTGCGACGTATAAAGAAAATCCTCAAATGAAAAGTGTTTTTTTATGAGGAACTATTGTGTTGGCAGCTCCTGGAGGTTTGAGGAACTCAAATGAACATTTTGTAGAATCGAGCATGTAAATTTCAGTTTCTGCTCTAAAAGCTGCACGTCTAACGTGACGTCTCGCACGGCATATATACCTGGTGCTTCAAATTCGACCCTTACCATTGGGATCTCGGTAAGAGATACACAGTCGCTTGACAGGAGGCAAAGTTGCGTATTTCGGTAACCAACAAAATGCCGCTTAGAAAGTTCCGAATTCGAAAGTACTTCCGTAGTGAGACGGCTGAAAGCCGAGTCTTCCCAAAATCGTTTTTCTGAGATTATTTGTTGTGGAATTTCAAAACAAATTGCATATGAATATTGACAGTTTTTCTTTCTTACAAGATGGCAAAAGTGGCATGATTTCAATATGACTTTTTATTTTAGACGTAATATTGGATTTTTCCTCAGATACATAGAGTTTTTATAATTCTGATTCCAATAATATACTAAGTGACATACAAATTTGAACACCCAGTTTAAATGGTTTTATTTTAATAAAAGTTGGTGAATGTATTTATCTTACTGTAAATAACAAGTGAAAAAATGTTCAGCCTTATCAGTTGGACATTCCGGTTTTTATACTGCTTTTTTTAATTCACTAACGCTCTAAAAATGAATATTTCAGCCGCAGTAAAGAATCAACGTTGGCGGATTTTGGTTCTTGACATCCTTTACGATCGGTTACGATGCCTAGAGTACGGAGACCTGTACGATTTCGTCAACTTAGTGAGTTTGATAGGGGCCGTATAGTGGGACTTCGGGAAGCTGGACTTTCTTTTCGGGCAATTGCAGTTAGAGTGCAAAGAAGTGTAGACACTGTGGTTAGGTGTTGTCAGGCATGGCTTCGAGAAGGCCGTACGCAAAGAGCAAGGGGCACTGGACGCCGCCGTAGAACAACAGACCGTGTAGATCTCCGCCTAAGATTATTGGCCTTAAGAGACCGTTTCTCCAGTACCAGGTCCATTGCAAATGAATGGTTTGCAGAACACGGAAGACCTATTGGCATGCGAAGTGTTTACCGACGAATGAGAAGTTTTGCCTTGTTTTCATACCGGCCACACTGGGTCCTCCCTTTAACTCGAGAACACCGACGTAATCGCCTTGAGTGGTGCAGACAACGGTCACTCTGGGATCAGGAATGGAACAGTATTGTCTTTAGTGACGAGTCTCGATTTTGTTTAGGCATGCACGATGGTCGTGCCAGGGTTAGAAGGCGACGTGGTGAAAGGAGGAATCCACAGTTTTTTGTTGAAAGACATGTTCATCACACTGTTGGAGTTATGGTTTGGGGTGCTATAGCTTATGGTTCCAGGTCACCTTTAATCTTCATCAGAGGTAACATGAACGCGCAGCGTTATATCCACGAAGTTCTAGAACCCCATCTTTTACCCTATCTTGACACCCTGGCAGATCCAACTTTCCAACAAGATAATGCCCGACCACATGTTGCAAGAGTCACAATAGACTTCTTTCAACATAATGATGTCACATTGTTACCATGGCCACCAAGATCTCCTGACTTATCCCCAATTGAGCACGTGTGGGACATGATGGGTAGGAGATTGCTCAATTTGCAACGTCCTCCTCAGACTTTAGAAGCACTTCGAGAGGAGTTGCTGGTTGCCTGGAATGAGATCCCACAGGAGGACATTGACCACCTGATCAGAAGCATGCCTCGGCGCGTTGGAGAATGCGTAGCACATCAGGGTGCATCCACATATTATTAAAGGTCAAAGGGCTTTAAAGCAGTACAATCATTTTGAAATTTTTATCATTTACTTATTATGCTTCATTAAGTACTTATACAAAATTTTATTAAAATAAAACCATTTAAACTGGGTGTTCGGATTTATATGTCACTTGTATAGTAACTCATACATTGATAGGCCTTGAACTTATCAGATAGTCATTAGTTTCGTATACGAACGCATTCACAAAAATGTTGGGACATTATCTAATTTGACAAATTGCAGTTTATTATCTAATTTTATCTAAAAGTTTGATTATTCTTGTAAGGTTAAAATTTCAATGTTTTTCTTTTATAAGGCAATGAAATATATTGTTTGTACATCATACTATAAAACTGTTTTTAAGTAATATGATATTGAAATATAAAATCAAATTAATATTAATAACAAAGCCACATTTTGCAGACTCATAAATGTTCGGACACGATGTTGAAAAGAAAATAATAACAGGCCATGTAAACAAAAAAGTGTTTACAATTTGACGTTTTGATTTAAGTATCAATTCTGTGAATCAGTTTGATTCAAAATGTCGCGTGGTAAACCAATAAACGGTGCAATCAGGGTTTTAATCATAAAATTGTTTCATTAAGGAAAGAGCTTTCAGGATATTGCTAAACAAATAAATTTCGCAATGTCTAGGGTGGCAGATATTGTAAAAAGGAATGGAGCCACAGGTTCAACTCAAGTTTCAAGACCTGGTGGTGATAGGCCGCGTAAGATCAGTCCTGTGGTTCGTATTTGCAAAGCTGGTCGTCGAGGACCTGTAAGGAACATAACAGCAAACTGGAATGAAGAAACAGCAGGAAATGTTTCACAAGAAATGTGCCGTCGGTGGATTCATAAGTCTGGTGGTACGAAGGTTGAATTTAAGGGATATATGGCATGTTTATTCAGTAAAATCTTTGTTTTAAGAAAAAGAAAAGCCGTTGCTTACGGAAAAGGAAAGAAAAGGCGATTAGTGTGGGCTAAGGAACCGGCAATGTGGACTCACGAGGTATGGAAAAATCTCATTTCTAGCGATTAATCGAAATTTGATGTTTGTGTGGGTGGCCACCGATCCCGGGTTATAAGAAAAAAACATGATTTCATAATGACTCCTTAAAGACAAAAGTAAAGTTTCCAACAGGTTTAATGGTATGGGGAAGCATATCCGCTATTGGCGTTGGAAAAGTCCACTTCATAGACGGAACTGTAAATGCAGCTAAATATCAAAAGATCCTTGAAACGAATTTGCTACCAATTTTATCTCCTGATACAGACTTTATCTTCAACAAGATGGGGCGTCATGTCATACGGCCAAAACGACCGAAAAATGGTTGCAGTATTCAGTACATTTGTGCATCCTTGACTGGCCTTCCAGTAGTACTGATTTAAATATACTAAGTGACAGATAAATCCGAACACCCAGTTTAAATGGTTTTATTTTAATAAAATTTTGTATAAGTACTTAATGAAGCATAATAAGTAAATGATAAAAATTTCAAAATGATTGCACTGCTTTAAAGCCCTTTGACCTTTAATAATGTGTGGATGCACCCTGATGTGCTACTCATTCTCCAACGCACCAACTCCTATCGAAGTGCTTCTAGAGTCTGAGGAGGACGTTGCAAATTGAGCAATCTCCTACCCATCATATCCCACACGTGCTCAATTGGGGATAAGCCGGGAGATCTTGGTGGCCATGGTAACAATGTGACATCATTATGTTGAAAGAAGTCTATTGTGACTCTTGCAACATGGGGTCGGGCATTATCTTGTTGGAAAGTTGGATCTGCCAGGGTGTCAAGATAGGGTAAAAGATGGGGTTCTAGAACTTCGTGGATATAACGCATCGTGCATGCCGAAAAAAAATCGAGAAGAAAAGACAATACTGTTCCATTCCTGATCCCAGAGTGACCGTTGTCTGCACCACTCAAGGCGATTACGTCGGTGTTCTCGAGTTAAAGGGAGGACCCAGTGTGGCCGGTACGAAAACAAGCCAAAACTTCTCATTCGTCGGTAAACACTTCGCATGCCAATAGGTCTACCATGTTCTGCAAACCATTCATTTGCAATGGACCTGGTAGTGGAGAAACAGTCCCTTAAGGCCAATAACCTTAGGCGGCGATCTTCACGGTCTATTGTTCTACGGCGGCGTCCAGTGCCCCTTGCTCTTTGCGTACGGCCTTCTCGAAGCCATGCCTGACAACACCTAACCACAGTGTCTACACTTCTTTGCACTTTAACTGCAATTGCCCGAAAAGAAAGTCCAGCTTCCCGAAGTCCCACTATACGGCCCCTATTAAACTCACTAAGTTGACGAAATCGTACAGGTCTCCGTACTCTAGGCATCGTAACCGATCGTAAAGGATGTCAAGAACCAAAATCCGCCAACGTTGATTCTTTACTGCGGCTGAAATATTCATTTTTAGAGCGTTAGTGAATTAAAAAAAGCAGGAATGTCCAACTGATAAGGCTGTTATTTACAGTAAGATAAATACATTCACCAACTTTTATTAAAATAAAACCATTTAAACTGGGTGTTCGGATTTATATGTCACTTAGTATATATTTGCCTAATATATAATAATAACAATAATAACGTCTTTATTGGATAACCCGGAGGGACATAAACAGCGAAGTTTAGCCAAGGCTACTCTTACACTTAACTGTTTATGTCGGTTACATCTGATGTTCAAAACATGGAAAAAAAATATAAGAACAATGAAAAAAAGAACACATATATACCTAAGTATAAAATACAAATAGACACAATCTATATCGGTAGCAGAAATGCTTATTTAATCAATAGCGAGCAACATGCTTTTAGTATGTTTACGAAAACTTTCCAAAGACATCAATTTAATACTGTTGTCCAACTGATTATAAAATAGTGGTGCATTATATGTAAATCCTCGTTGGAGTAATACAGAAGTGTATGGGGTGGTTTTGATACTATAACGATTCCTAACAGCCCTGTCATGCACTTCGTAATTAAATCTTAACTTAGCTCTTAGATATTCAGGCTTTGATGACAATATTATTTTATGAACT